ATTGATTTTGTTTTCTCCTTTTCATACTTTGCCCACACCTCCAATTCACGGGGTGGATAGAAGGAAGGATTTTAAAATCAGACTGAAAATCAGAGTCCCCCACAGACTGATTTCCAACCTACACAGCCTATCTGGTTTCCAATTATGTATTAACAGAGCACCAGGAAGATATTTTATGTGGAAGATGTACAGATTAAAAATCCATGTTTCCTTTATCTAAAAATCTTTTGTATGGATAGATCTACTCCACCTTATTAATTTTGATAGAAGCATGATTACAATCCATTTTGTTACTCTGATTACAGCAGCTTCGCCTTGAAGAAGTGTTCTGAAATCTGAACAGTATGAAAGGTAATGTTCATTCTGATACAGTGTAATGAAATCACTTTATTTTCAATTTACTCTTCCTATTATATAACAAAATATAACAGAAATTAGTTCAGAGCTGAAGCCAGGAAATAACACTGCCAGGAGTAATTGAAATAGAAAGATTATTAATTAAGCTATCACTGTTTTCAGAAACATCCTAATTTTAGATAGAGAGCAGAGGGATTAAGTTTGCATTAACTTGTTTTCTTTAAAATGAGTGGACATCAGACATAAGATTTCATCATCACCAGCTTTAAAATTTTTTATGCTTCACCGGCAGGTTTTTGGCTAGGAGAAAACTGCAAATGCTAACTGATTCCTCTTTTGGGCAACTTATAGAACCTTAGAGTGCAAGCAGAGAAAAGATGTCAAAAGCTTCAATGTGTATATAAAGATCCCTGCTCTTCTAGGCCCTGGGCATGGGACAGGGTAAGATACACAGGCATAGAAAGAACAAGGGCTTAGGAAGAAATCAAGAATACTTCCCTTGGTAAAAAAAAAAAAAAAAAAAAAAAAAAAAAAAAATATATATTTTAGATTTAGATTTAGTTTAAAGGTTCTTTAACTTTGCCCAGATTAATAAAAAAGATCTTCTACAGATGGTATCTAAATTTTCAAAAATTTACAAGGTGTTCTGAGGTGAGTTTGAATCAAAGAACCAATATACCCTAAGTCAGCTTCGTGGATTCAAAAGTGAGCCTAATGCGCACATCAACTTTTTGAGATTCTTGCCAAATCAAAGGTTAAAATGCATATAAAAAGTGCAAGCAAAGATACTAACAAACCTTCATTATGTGTTTTCTGAGAAAAGGCATCACCTGTGGCTGCTGCCAAACCGAGGAGCAGAGGGAAGGGTGGGAACCCAGGTCTGAGGGTGTGGCGGCCAGCAGAGCAGAGCAGGGGAGCGCTCGCCTGCCCACGAGTCGAGCCGCGCCCGAGTGGAAGAAGGGGAGGGGCTTTTCTCTGCTCTCTGGAGCACGAACACATAATCACAGCAGAATAATGGTCCCCTTATGTGGATACTGAGGTTCGTACTGAGGTATTTATCTAAATACAATAAAGTTTATTTCTCATGTCAAAAAAAAAATGATAAAAAAAACCCTGAGAATTCACGTTAAAGGACCTAAAATCCAAGCTAGAACTGGAAATGAGCTCTCGTAAGAGAACAGAGAAACTAGAGAGGCCCATGTATGCTGTGCACTCAGTCCAAGCCTGGCCAACAAGGTAAATCTGTGAACAGATAACACTGAATTCTTCAAAAAGAATCCATCAAAATAGAACATTTTCTTTGGTTAAAAGCTAGTTAAATCAGAGTTTAAAAGGCCAGAGACAAAAGCAAGATACAAATGAATATATTTTACTTTAGATTTTTAAGAAGAATTTGTGTTCTCAGATACTCATTGTTTGAGTTAAAGTTAATTTAACCCAAGGTAGAAAGTAGTATTTAAATGGTAAATACTGCTAGGAATAGAAAATAGGGGCTAGAAATAAACACATGAAAACCATAAATAAGTCTGTGTTTTCAGCATTAGCAAGTATATTTTCTATGTTCTAAAATTTCTGTAATGCTAGACTGCTTTTATTAGAAAATGGACAAAATAAACAGCACTTTTTTTTTTTTTTTTTTTTTTCTTGCGTTATGCGGGCCTCTCACTGTTGTGGCCTCTCCCATTTGCGGAGCACAGGCTCCGGACGCGCAGGCTCAGTGGCCATGGCTCACGGGCCCAGCCGCTCCGCGGCATGTGGGATCTTCCCGAAACGGGGCACGAACCCGCGTCTCCTGCATCGGCAGGCGGACCCTCAAGCACTGCGCCACCAGGGAAGCCCCAGCACTTTTAATGAGGGCACATACAGCCTACAGAATTTCTGGCACAAGTGTGTAAGGAATAACACACAATTCGACTGATCATGCAGCAGTCTGTAACTGAGAACAATTAGAAACAACCTAAAAGTCTCCTTTCCCAAGAGGATGGACAAATCAATTGTGATACGTTCACACAATGGAATACTTTAGAGAAGAAAAACGAAGGAACTAGATATATGTGTGTCCACATGGGTCAATTTTATAAATCAATGTAAAGCCAAAAAAGCATGTTACAAAAGGATACTTAGAGTAAGACAAATGTTACATAGAATTTTTAAAGCATGCCAAAACAGTGCATCTTGTTTTAATAATACAAACATAAGTAGCAAAATTATTAAGAGATACACAGCAATTTAATCTCAAATTCAGAATAGAGGTTACCTCCAATGAGCAGAAAAGTGAGAGAAAAAAAAGAAGGAAAAGTCACCTATGTTCCCTCTCCATGGCTGTGTGGCTTTAAAATCAACTTTTAAAACTGTGGTGTAAGCTTCAGTGTTCTCCCTCGTGTGACATATGCAACACACAGACACACGCCCCTATCCTATTCAGGATGAAATCTGAGCGCCCACTGCCCCTCCGGGCCCCCTTCCCACCAGAGTTGCACGTCCACACACTCCAGGGCGCCCAGACCTTGTGCAACTACTGTGCCCTCTGCCTGCAACACCTGCTCTGCACACGGCCCACTCACTCCCTCCTATCGTCCAGATGTCGTCAAATGCCACCCCAACAAAGGCGACTTCCTTAGCCACCCTATTAAAATAACCCGGTCATTCTCTACCCCCATATCCTGCTTTACATTTTCGGCTTCACGGCTTCATGGCAGGCTTCCTGGCATGACGGATCATTTAAATTGTCTTTCTCCCCCAGAATATAAGCTCTACTAAGTAGGACAGGGTTTGTCTTATTCACAATTGAATCAACACTGCTTTGACTAGTGCTGGACACAAACGAACTCAGTGGGGGCTGATCAAAGAATTGTGTATTTCATTCCATACATATTTTAACCCACTTTTCCCCATTTTTCTAATATGTACACCTTCAGTGTTATTAAATACTTTTTCTAAACATCATTTTCAAAGGTACACAGTAGCACAGTATTCCAACAGTGCATGGCATACAGCACAGTTAAACAATCCAGTCAGACATCTGACTTTTCAAATAATTTTGTCATCAAGAATAATAGGAAAAAAAAAAGAAAAGAAAAAAAAAAAGAATAATAGGGCTTCCCTGGTGGCGCACTGGTTAAGAATCTGCCTGCCAATGCAGGGGACACGGGTCCGAGACCTGGTCTGGGAAGATCCCACATGCCACGGAGCAATTAAGCCCCTGCGCCACAACTACTGAGCCTGCGCTCTAGAGCCCGCGAGCCACAACTACTGAGCCCACACGCCTAGAGCCCGTGCTCGGCAACAAGAGAAGCCACCACAATGAGAAGCCCGCGCACCTGCAAGGAAGAGTGGCCCCCGCTCGCCACAACTAGAGAAAGCCCACGCACAGCAACAAAGACCCAACTCAGCCATAAATAAATAAATAAACAAATAAATAAAGATTTTTTTAAAAGAATAATAATAGACATTAGTAAAGACATTCTTTAGACTCTGTGACTGATCATTATTGCTTTAAGATAAATTCCTCAAATAAAAACGGTGAATCCATTTATAAGGTATTTTATATATATTTCCAAACTATCCTCCAAAAAAAGGCTATACAGATTTAGGTTTACACAACAGTGGATGAGAATCACAGCTTCACATCATCAGCACCAATGTCTCTGTCGATCTGGCGAATACAATAAGTGGAAAAGGTATCCATTTATTCAGTAATTTTGTATCTAGATTACACATAAGTTGCTTTCCATTGCTCAGACCCACGCCACCCTAAAGTCTACATGAACAGGAACCGGAGAGGGACTTAAACTTACCCCCGCTTCCAGCCCTCCTGCCACACCTCAAAGAACAGCCTCGGAGGCGGCAGGGCTGCACGAAGCAGAACAGATCAACTGGAGAGCATATGGCTCCGATCTCCAGTTCTGAGGGCGGGAAACCTGAGCACTGCCCTGCTCCCTCGCTACAGGAATCATCTCACTCGCCATGGTTTCTCGCCCAGATCACACTGGTGATCTGCCCAGGAGGGAGCACACCAAAGGGAGCGGTACCTCCTTCTAGGTGAAAAGAAGGAAGGAGACATACCTCTTACCTCTGTAAACTGAAAAGCAATGAAAACTATCTGCAAACAGTATAAAACTATCAAGATAGCATGTTTGAGATGGAAATATTCAAGGACAAACATCATGTGCCTTTCCAGAAACGTCACACCCCAAGCTGCCAGCCAGCAGCTGCCAGACTTCACTGAGATACTTCAGGACTGTTGCCATCAGGCAGAGGGAAAAGCTGCCCATCCGTCAGGATGTCAGAGGTGCTGAGCAGACTCGCACAGGCCCGCCCCCATCTCTCCCAAGAGCTCCTCCAGTACGGGGCAGCGGGGCTGGGGACACACAGCTGCCACCCTAGGGCCCGACAGAACGCCCAGCCCCACCAGCAAAGGTGCTCTGTAGCTTCTCCAGCCAACCTAGCACCGCATGCTGCCCTCACACTCCTGTGGGGCTGCAGACGACTCTGTGAAACCTTGCAACGAAAGTTCAGTGACACACAGCAACATATCACATTTTAAAAATCCGATTAATTTATCTTTTAACCATCTCCACTCTTAAAGCTATATTTTAAATACTTAATAATTTCACTTAATTTCAAAAATCTTTTCTTTTTACCAGAGGAGCCCAGTAGGTGTAGAGATAGCCTATTTTCAATGCTGGCACAAACTGTGAGCAGGATACTACCAGAAAATAGAGATTCAAGAAAAACTTGAATTGTTCATATAAAACCTAAAAAGAAAAAGAAAAAAATTAACATGATCTCTTCATACCTTAATTAAATAATTAAAATCAACATAATATCTAACTGTATTTCCATCAAACAGTGAAAACATGCCCTGAGTCACAATACATTAATTTTGACAATGGCTTTCCAATAACTAAATCACAAAAAAGACCTAAGGTTACCCCAAATTATATTTAAAATAAACTGAAAAAAAGACAATTAGAACTTTCAACTATGTTGTGTCCTCTAAAAGTTTCTTATTTTCTTGCATGCAATTTTCCAGGTTACCACACACATCTATAAATCTTTACATGCACACCAAATGAGACAGCAAAACCTTCCCAATGTTAGTAAGTCAGTTAATACAGATATACAAATGTATCTCTTCATATCAACTCAGAAAATCTTATGGAAAAGTGGTGTTAACCTTGTGTTTATGAAATGGTAAACAATAAAACATGATAGCCACGTTTTCTGAATGTGGACATCTAGGTGGCCTTACAAAGATCGAGTGAACAAGCAAACCATGTGCAGGTATGACTTCACACACAAAAAAAACCCTACTTTAATCTCCTGTATTTACTTCCCTCAAAGTATAAGAAATGGTAAAATATAAAAATATGTAAATTACAGACCAATTTTCAGGAAGACAGCTACCTGCATATTCTTTATATGATAGCTGATACACGGTAGCTGACCTTCAACACTACAATTACAATGAAACTTACAGACTTGCAAACTGCAAGTCAAAATCTCCTGGGATGCCATTTTTTAATACAACTGTGGAAGGCACAGAAATTTTAACAAGGGCAGAGCAATGCGTTAAGTACTTATTGTTGACTTAAAGAGTCTGGAACCACAGTTTTTATATAATGAAGTTATACACATCATCACACAGTTATGTGTATGACTAAAAACATCAGTTACATTGATAACACATTTATATTCATAATCATGTTCAACTGCTGTCTAAAAATGTTTTGAATCATTTCATAAATTAATCTTAGCAGGAGAGAAAACTCTTTTTCCTCAGTGATTTCTTTAAAATCTCAGTTAGCATAGATTATATCTATTAGCAATTCAGAAATTGTCATTCATGCTAAAAATGGCATAGAATTCCTACTGTGCAATTACCAAATGTTTCTAAAATACTACGTTTTAGATGAAAAGACTAATTTAAGAGACAATCTAAGAAAAAAGTCATTCCCACGGTAACAGCTGTACAGACACATCAACAGGTCTCTTCTGGACAGCCATCCTGGTAGCCATGTGAACTCACTCGGATCAAAACTAAGCTGCACGATCCACTTTAAACCACTGCAATCAAGACTTTATTGTCTGCTGAGTGAACTTCTGGAGGGCTTTAGGAAAATGACAATACTTAGCCAATCTGGGAGTATTTAATAATTTAAACCTAAGGAGAAAACAGTAGCTTCATTCAATAAAGATGAGAATATTTATCTGCCTGAAAGAGAGTTTACACTTTATTGTCCTAACAAAAGATCAGTCTTTTAATTATGAAGCCATTAGTTTTGTGTGTTTTAATAAAGGAGCATATCAGACATCAAGCATCTGACAACTATTGGACGGACTGGGGGGGTGGTGAGGGCTGATCAATGCCCAATATAAAGTCAGCATGGTTATTTAAATAAAAACATGAAAGAGAAACCAGCCCTCATTTCACATAATCAAGAGGGGTTTTTGCAAAATATCATAAGAGCTAATACCTAGAACATATCAAAAACTTTGATACTGGAAACATAAATCAGTGCCAGCTTTCTTTTGCCTTTAGAAAGATAAATAAATCTGTCTATTAAAATAGGGAATGATGCACAAAAGGCAAAAATAATTCCACTATTCTAAATACATATAATCTCAGTTTTATCATTTAAGCCAGAAATATGACTGGCAACAAAACAGTAATAAATATTTAAACTTCAGAATGTCAATTTAGCATAACACCCAATTAAAGATAACTACTGACATAACAATACAACAAGGCCTGAAACTTACAGTGTGAAATAGAAAAGAAATCTATAAATGCTCAGAGATATTTCCTTATGGAGTCATGTCTCTGTAAACAGTTATTTTACTTCCATTGTAACAGCCTTGGTAGGCTTTAAACATTAGATACATTCCACTTTTCCCACCAAACAAATTCCCAGCCAAACAAAATGTATGACTTATTTTCTGATAATTTTATTTAGCTTTACTTGGTTATTTCTACAAAAATATAAATGTGATGTTTATCTAGAACTGAAGGCAATAATCAAACTATAAACTTTCTTGAGCTGAACCCTTATCACATGGCTACTACAAATGCATATGAATTACTTAACAATTATTTGAAACACCCATGGTTCCAAAGCAAAAGGACTCTGATTTGGATACGACAGAATTAATGAGGGAAAAAAATGAAAACAAAGTTAGCAATCTCTGATATGCAGCCCGTTTTCAAGAATTTAACAATCTTACCCCAGGTATAAAGGTAAATACATTGTATTTCTGATTTTTTATAGAATTTCTGGGATGTTTTTCTTCACACTTTTCCGGATATCCAAGCCACACTGTACGAGCTTTCAATTCTCTCTTTCTTTGACAAATATTTATCAGCCAATCACAGCAACTGCATGAAACAAAAGATACATATTGCGTATGCTTTTTCAAAAGTTTTTGAATTAATTCTACATATCCAGAGCCAATACTGATAGTTTCTGTATTTAACCAGACACCAATAGCATATCTACTGCTAATCTGTAAGGGTTTTCTTAAAACAGGTCAGCTATACTAATTTAAATTTGATATGAAGATACTGAAGGAGCTTGAATAAGTGTGCAATGACTCCTAGAACCTCAGGAAAATTATCTTCCCCGTTTAGACCCTCTTATTGGCAAAATAAAACCATTAACATTCTGAACACCCACACGGAACCAAATTGCCGGACCCGCACCTCTCCTCGGGGCACCTCCCCGCAGCCGGGAGGGAGGGAGAGAGGGCGCACACCGCCCGCCTCTGTCCAGTTACAACACCAACTCCTCGTCTTGGACCCCCGCAACCACACTCACAGACGCCAAACTCCCACACGGTACACAAGGGAAAACCAGAGGCCACAGAGGTCAGTGAGCGACGTACGCGCAACAGCTGGGCAGGGCTGACACACAGCCCGGACCTCAGTCCCCACTCAACCCCGTGTTCCTCCTGCCGCGAGGACAACAGGCAGGCCGGCGCCTGCTCATCTTCACAGACGGCCTGTGCTTAGCACAGCACACAGTACAGCAGCCATTCAACAGATGATGGAAATAAATGAAAAACGCATGAGCAGGCCACAGGACTCCATGGGAAAAACATGGACTTTAAGGTCATGCTTTTGGAAACAACTCCCAGCAAGTGGCACTGGGGTGGTCCCCTGGTCTAAGTCTTTGTTTCCTCATCTGCAGAAGTGCTGATGAGGTTACAGGTGACACGCTCTGAGCTCCTGGCACAATGCCTGCCACAGGGGAAGCACTCAGAGCTCTGCTGTCACTACGCTGCCTCTCGCTGTCACATTCAGAATGTCTCCAAACTTATAATACTAATTGGCACAAAAAGTTACTGTCCAATAAAGCATCCATTGGCCACATGTGGCTATTTTAGTGGGAATTAATTAATATTAAGTAAAATAAAAAGTCCAGTTCCTCAGTCACACTATCCACCTTTCAAGGACTCAACAGCCACCTTGTCCAGTGGCTACCATATTGGACATCACAGATCTAGAATACTCTCAGCATCCCAGGGAAGCTCTGGAACAGGGCTGGTACACACAAAGCACTCTTCAGGCAAGCACGACAGCTAGGACAGCAGTCCTCATGCGTGCACACTTCCTTCAGCGTTTCAAATACAGCAAAAATCCTCCAGGAATCTATTCAGATATGAATTTTTCTCCGGAAACACATAATTATCTAATCTAATGGTTTAATGTGCAAAAGTCAGACAAGTCTTAAGATGAAACGGAGGATAGCCAAAGCTCAGTGTTTGAAAAAAATATAAATAAAACTTAGGAAATGTGGATTTTCCAGAGTTTAGGCTGGTATCGACATATTCTACAGGCAAAAACCTCTATAAATGCAAAACCACTGTCTTCATCACATGACACTGTAAACATTCGCTAGAAAAAAAACCTCAACATCTACACCACTGTCAGCAGCACATGAAACTAACATCCCATTAACTTTCAAAGCCCCATACTCTAGAAACTAAATTAAATACCAGTGGCTAAAAACACATATTCAACAGTTCAGTTTTTCTCTATAACACTGTACAGAAAAAACTAAGATTCCTAGACTTCCAAAATGTAATTAAATTATTCATAACACTTTGCTACTACTATTACCAAATTAAAATCTTATTATTATTTCTTCATGCAAAGACAGAATCAAGCAGTGGTTAGGGAGCCACTATTAAACCACCCGCTACTCCACAGTATTAAATGAATACACAGTCTCGAAGTTTTAAAAGCCTGGGGCTCCGCCAGCATTGTCACTGGATTATGCAGACAGAAAATATGACCAGAAAGAGAAGACAAACCCCGCACATAAAGAAAATACTTGTAACCAAAAAAATACGTGTAAGTAAGCCTTATGGAGCTGTACAGCTAAGGGAGAAAGTAAAACTATGGGCAATTTTTGAAGGCAAAGTAATAAGAGTAAAACATACTGGTAAATACCGGTAAGTGAGAAGGAGATGCAGAGGAGTCCCTGGAAGAAAGAAACCAGAAGCGTTACCCAGGAACATTTCTATGCGCACTGCACGCTTCCTCAGTTACTCAGTATTCAGAAGACACTTTCCCATTTATATGTAAATCGCCTCACACTGTCAAGGCAAATTGAAACTAAATCCAATAGTGTACAAACTATACTTTTTTCTTAAAACATTTCAGGATTAGTAAGTTTTTGCAAATGGCTCTATGATCAAAGTAGTACTCCAATACTAAATAAAGCACATCTTTATATACCAAGATCCTGTCTTATAAAATTTTAAGGGGCCATAATTAAACAACTTCCAAAATTTAGAAAGCCTCCTTCCCAAATAAATAAATAAATAAATAAATAAATAAATAAATAAATAAATAAATAAATAAATAAATAAATAAATAAATAAATAAATAAATAAATAAATAAATAAATAAATAAATAAATAAATAAATAAATAAATAAATAAATAAATAAATAAATAAATAAATAAATAAATAAATAAATAAATAAATAAATAAATAAATAAATAAATAAATAAATAAATAAATAAATAAATAAATAAATAAATAAATAAATAAATAAATAAATAAATAAATAAATAAATAAATAAATAAATAAATAAATAAATAAATAAATAAATAAATAAATAAATAAATAAATAAATAAATAAATAAATAAATAACTATATCCAACAGGTACCTTTGGTTACCAAGCCAAAAGCAACACAGCACTCATGTCCTCTTAAGAGATCAGCACTTTCCCATGCTTCTGCACTCCAAGCGTGTTGCCGATTAACTGAAAGTGTAGGGGCCACTTAGGACCGGGAACAATCCTAGCATTTGATACCCCCCCTTCATATGGAAATGCCATTCAGGGGTTCCACTTTCATGGGGACAAAGTGATTTTTGATAGCAAGTGAAATGTAAACCTCGTGAGAAAGGCATTACTGTCCCCCAGAACTACATACCGGTGCGCATCACAGTAACCCACGTGGAGGACACCCAAAGGTTTAGAAGACAGATTACAGAAAAAGTTTTTCCAGAGTCAAATTTTTCAGAGTTGGAATTTTTGCCAAATAATAAAAATGAGAAGGCAGGTCTTAAGCCATGAAGAAATTAAAGCCTACTCAATCCCAGAAGAAGAATAATTTAAAAATAAACCTTACTACTCACAGAATCTACAAATAAAAATACAATGAAATATCTGCAACTCATTAATATCATTTGCTATCTATCTTTACTACAATATTCACTAACGTTTTCTTCTGCAATTAAACTAATTTTATATATCTTCTACTCTTTGATCCATCGCCTAATAACCTTAATAACACTGACTTTTATAATGCCTGGTATTTAGAAAATAAAAAGGTCAGCAAATATTCAAAACTGGAAATTTATAATAAAGAAAAAAGACCCATCTAAGTTGCTAACTGTACAGTTTGTTCTGTAAGGTGCAGTTTTAATTTCCATAACAATTTCCTGGTGTAGTGGATGCACACTGAACACGAAGTGTGGCCATGTCTCAGGTCACTGTCGTCCACATGGAAAGAGACACTCGTGAGTGAAGCCACCACAACGGTTCGGTCAGCTCTGCCCACATGATCACCATTTACTAAGATAAAGACTTTATATACATGTCGAGTATATGTTACTGAGCTGTTTTAATATCCCCCAAACATGTTAGTTTTTGCCACTAACACCTAGATTTTCAAATATATTCTTAATATCTTCCTTAAGAAAAGGAATATTACAAATGAAATCCAAAACTTGGCTATGTTCCATTTGGTAAAAACAAAATCCTGTAAGAGACCAAAAATAATTCAACAATGTACTCGGCCTTCAACAATGTCCACAATTCTTGGCAACCGTTTCACTGGTATGGGTAGGTATCACTTCCAACACATGGCCTGCCCTCTTGAAGTCCACACCATGCACACGAGACTATGACCTTAAAGTTTCAGGTCCATCAGTACCCACTCCCACGCCCCCAGTTTCTAGCAACTCTGTCATGCAGGGATCCTCCGTGCAGAGTAGATAAGATTCTCAGCCTTCTCAGTCCCACTGATCTTCACGTCAGGTTCCCTTTCGGACGGCGAGACCAGGCACTTGTCTGCTTGAAGAGTCGTCCTAGCACTTTTCCCAGTCCATGGAGCAAAGAGCAAGGAAAGGCTTTGGCGAGTCAAGTGAAACTCTGGTTCACCCTCGGGCTTGGCCCTTAGCTATCAGGAGGGGGCCTCTTCTAGCTCTTGGCTGTAAACAGCAGTGAGAATGCTCATCTCAAGCAGCACCACTGGGTCTGATCCCACTCTTTCTTCCACCCCACACTAATGGAAAACACACACCACACATCCATCAAGCTGCAATTGTGGCACCGCCCAAATCTCCTCTGCCACAGCCATCTCTTCAACTCACAACACTGGCCACCATTCCCGCAGTAACTGCCCACACCCTCGCTTCCACAGCTGGTGCTGTAATGGCTCAGGTTTCTCCTTGGTGGACAAACAGTAATAAAATTATGCTGGGTTCAATACAGATGCGTGATTACTGACGACCTCTACCAAGGCATGACCAATTTTGTCATTTTTTTAGTCCTCATGTGTATCCCAGACACCTCCTCACTTAACTGAACTAATGTTCCCAACTGAGGTTAAGATAAAAGTCATCCTCTCCAACACGATTTCGCACTTCCTCCCCTATTTTTCCTGCCGCCTAAAAAAGGATTATTAGCCTCTTCCTTTCCAACACCGCCCTTTCCCCTGAAGGGTCCCCTTCCTTCTTCCTCCATAGGCCTCTACCACACTGCTGCCACCGTAGGGATATCATCCTCCCAGGTGGTTTCCACTGTCACTACAGTAACAACAACTCTCAAACCTACGTCTCCAGATCCTGCTTCTGGATCTGACAGAACTATCCGTCTTAGACCAATCCAGTACATGACAGATTTACATAAGGTATCACCTCACACCAGTCAGAATGGCCACCATTAAAAAGTCTACAAATGATAAATGTTGGAGTGGGTGTGGAGAAAAAGGAACCCTCCCACACCGTTGGTGAGAATGTAAATTGGTACAACCAATTTACAACTCCAACTATGGAGAACAGTATGGAGGTTCCTGAAAAAACTAAAAGTAGAGTTACCATGTGATCCAGCAATCCCACTCCTGGGCATGTATCTGGAGAAAACCATAAATCAAAAAGGTACATGCACCCCAATGTTCACTGCAGCATTATTTACAATAACCCAGACCTGGAAGCAACCTAAATGCCCATCGACAGAGGAATGGATAAAGAACGTGTGGTACAGATATACAATGGAATATTACTCAGCCATAAAAAAGAAACGAAATAATGCCATTTGCAGCAACAAGGATGTACCTAGAGATTATCATATTAAGTGAAGCGAGTCAGTCAAAGATAAATATCATGTGATATTGCTTATGTGTGGAAAGTAAAAAATGATACAAATGAACTCATTTACAAAACAGAAACAGACACAGAAAAAAAACTTACGGTTACCAATGGGGATAGCAGGGAGGGCGGGGTGGGGGGGGTAGATTAGGAGTTTGGGATTAACGTATACACACTACTATATACAAAACAGATAAACAACAAGGACCAACTGTATAGCGCAGGGAACTATATTCAATATCTTGTAATAACCTATAATAGAAAAGAATCTGAAAAAAATATACATATACGTATAACCGAAAAAATAAAGGGACTTGAACATCCACTGATTTGGGTCTCGGAACCAATCCTCCACAGATACCAAGGGACGCCTCTATAATCACAGATGGAAAAGAAAGGAACACAGTTCATGTCAGTACAGTGACCACAATTAATTCTACCACGCAGTAATTACAAAATCACTAATTTTCTCCATCTTTTAAACATTAAAACATCTCACAACAAAGTGAATTTGGCTTTCTGTCCCTTTTGGATTTGCACTGTTTGGTTTTGACTAAGGTCATTAATACTCTCCATGATGTCATTTAGAGAGTGGCTTCTTTAGTTTGATATAGAAACAAATGTGTTTAGAAGCTAAGCTTATAAATAACTGTGTAACTTTGGTGTGTAGGAGGTTAGGCAGCAATGGATAACAAACCTGGTACAGAGGAACTTCCATCCTCCACAGACAAACCACTCCAGGCCTCTCTTTCTTCGCATGACCCTAGCTCGTGGTAATCTGTGGTAGTCGCTTTCGTCATCCTCAAAGCCTTCTTCAGACATCATTAATGGCATTTCATCCAAATGGGCAGACTCATCTTCCAGCTGGCACCTGGATAAAGGAAAGGACAGAGCACTGAGGCAGGCCAAGCAGCCTTCTGTGTACGATACGGGTCAGGCTTAGGGCAAGAGCTGGCCCAATTCCACTAATCACACTTTTCTTCTTCCCTCGTGCTACGCTGTCTTCAGGGGAAGCAAAGCATTACAAATAACACTGCACAGTAATGCTACTTCCTTTGCAAAAAACTTCACCAAGGTAAGCAGGAAAGGAAAGGCTGTCCAAGGAAGCTGCCGTTACCATGCTGTGAGCGGAACCCTCCAAGCAGCCTTCCATGTGTAGTTGTTGTATCTACATAAAAGACCATTCTTTTGACGTTTCTGTATGCTTGAAATAACTTATAATGAACTGGGGAGATTATACTCAAGGGAAAAAACTTTTAAGACTAGAATAGATGTCCACTCTCCATTACTTCTTCCATCTACAGCTTCTCCATCTTTTCTCCTGCCACTGCCTCTGAGACCTGTGGTCACCTGGACACTTGTCGTTTTCTCCATCATTACTATCTTCTTTCTCTAGATCTCCTGTCACTCTCGAGAGCCAACGCTTTGGAGATGAAGGCCTACGGAAGGGCGGACGATGATGGGTGCTACTCCAGATAATCGAGACTATCCAGCAGCACTAGCAGAACTTCCATTCTGCTCTGAACTTTAGTAAAATGCATCTCCTACAGTTTATAACAAGCTTTGTATCTGCAGTTAGCTATCTTTTTAGAATCCTTCAGGGAACTGTGTGTGTGTGCACGTGTGTGTGGCCTGTGCATGGGTGGGTGGGTGCCTGGGTGTGCCAGTGCACGTGTGTGTGGCAACGGTGCCATGTACCACTCTGCCTACTAGGATTCTGTGAAAAGGTCAGCAGCCAAGATTCCCAAAGCCTGTCTTCATGAGACTTTATTCTTAAAATAAGGGCCTAGCTGTCAAGAATCCAAGCCCAAATGGAATTCAATGATGGAAAAAAGTCCTTGGACGTGAAGGCCAATGTCAACCTCCCACCTAAGTTTCTCTACCGTCTTCTCAACATTTGGTAACTAAAAAATAGTCCAGCGAGAGGATTTACCAGGTTACTCAGTTATCCCCTACAGGGAAGACATTTATAACTCCCCATTAGAAAATATTTCAGTGAATATATCTGTGCATAGCACTTCTCCCATATTTTAGATGAATTCTTTCAGAGATTCCCAGGACTAGAATTGTTATGTAAAGTCATAAGCTCTAAAATACTCGATACATATTGCCAAACTGCAAATTTAAACTCCCACCAATATGAGAGCTGGGAGAGCTACCAAAAACACGAGAAGCAGTCTACCTCAGCCTTATCAGACTGGGGCTGGTACATTCACTCATTTAAGGGAAGGAGAGCACCTTGGTGTCACACGGGCCCTACACCACCAATGAGCTATGGCCGAGGCTGCTCCCCTCTCGTACGGAAAATTCAATTTAGCTGGACGCAGTTCGGAAGATAAGAGGGGCAGCAGGGGTGGCCCGTGCAGATGTAAGATCAGGGCATTGCGAGCCCAGAAAGGCAGAAGGAACTTGGCAGTGGAGGCCCTTGCAACTCACAGGAAAGACAAAGATTTCAGGTGAGAGGCAAATATGAGATTCGCTCTGCACTCTGGCTGCCCTGGAGAACTGGTCGAAGCAGAGCTGGAGCCAATTGGGAGGCCGCTGCAAGAGTCCAGGACAGAGACAGATGGTGCTTGAACAAAGGAGCTGGAGGAAAAAGGAGAGAAGTGGGTAGATTCGGGGCATTTAAGAGCTAGAGCACACAGACAGGTGATGTTTGACTATGAACTCAGAGGACACAAGAGCCTAAGGATGACCGGCCTGTACGGGAAGGAGGACGGCAGTGCTGCTCAGTAGGACAGAAAACACTAGCAGAAGCAGGCTTCTGGCAGCTGAGGGAGAATCTTGAGTCTGCTTTTATTCATTTTCAGTCTGAGGTCTCTGAAATATGACGCAGGCAGCTGCAATAAATGGAGCTGGCCCGCCAAGGGCAGGCAGGAGCTGGGAGGTCAGCAGTGGAGGGGAATTTATTCTTTGGCCTCACCAGCTCCTCTTTCCTTAGGAACCTGGCCCACTCCGCCCACCACCCAGGAAGGACTGCTGTGTAGCTGCCCGGGACCTCAAACCCTCCTGTGGTTGGTCGGGGACGGGCAGCCAACCAAGCTAAGCCACAGCTGTCCAGGAAAATTCTGCGACTGGAGCTGAGAAAAAGGTGGCAGTCTCCCTCGATAACTAAAGCTACTATCTCCTGTGATAAGAGCTGTTGGAGGTCTATGCCAGTACATAGAGTAAGAAACCCAGAAAACCAGTCTTCTGAAAGAGAAGAATGAATCAGACAGATACGTGTAAAATGAAAAAATGTTTCATGTTTCTTGTTTCATGTTTCAAGATTAAAATGTTTCATGTTTAATCTTTCATGGAAGATTAAATACATAATCTACTTTCAATATGCAAAAAATTGCTTTTTTTTTTTTAAAGCGTAAATCTACAAGAACAGAAAACAAAAGAGGAGATAACAAAATGTAAGAAGCTGGGGAAAGCAGATGGATGGATGGTAAACAACTAAGCAGAACCATGAAAATGGAGTCTGAAGCCAGCAGTGAAGAAACCAGAGAACCAAGGGATTGGAACCTCAGGACCCTAGCAGGGCTGAAGACCGGCAGCGCTGGGTACCTCTGGGAGCGCTTTGAAGGGACACTGAAATAAGAACCGACTGAAAGCTCTGAAAGAAACATCTGGATCCTTACACTGCAGCCCCCCTCCCACCCAACTAGGCAACCACCCCTCCCCTCCTCTGGGGAAGGGAGGCTGTGCTGAAAACAGAAGACTGAGTGAAGGAGCCACCAACCTGTCCCTCCCACTACCCTGCTGATTACTAATGCACTGTTGAAGGGACGATGCTGCTGACCTAAAGGAGAGGAAACCAGCACTGAACAGTTACTGAGAGCTCAGACTCTCAGGCAGTAATCTAGGCACGTCACGTATATTCATTTAATCCCCAGGTTTAGACAATTAACACAGAAAACCATACTATAAGAACGAACAAAAACTCAAATGTCCATAGACAAACGCAGACCATACATACAATGGGATATCTATCATTCAGCCATGAAAAGGAAGAAAATTGATACAAGCTACAACGAGAACCTTTAGGACATTATGCTCAGTGAAATAAGCCGGACACAAGAAGACAAACACTGAATGACTCCACTTACATGAGGTCCCAAGAGCAGTCAACTCCAGAGACAGAAGGAAGACAGAGGTGAGCAGGCAGTGGGGGAGGGTGGAAGTCAGTGTCTACGGGGCACAGAGTTTCAGTTTGGGAAGATGGAAGTTCTGTGGGTAGATGGCGGTGGCGGTTACACAACAACAGTAACGTACTTAATGCCATTTACTGTGCCCTTAAAAACGGTTAAGAAGGTATCTCTTATGTTATGCATACTTTACCACAATTCTTTAAAAAAGAACAGATTTCTGTAATTATTGTTGATGATACCCTGCTCCCCGGCAGCCAAGTAACCGCTGGAAGACGGATATCCCCTCATCACTACCCACACCCTCAGCGCGCCGAGCTAATTCCTGCAACACGGCTTTCCCTGCACTTAGCACGGGGCCCTTTCTCCTCGTGCTCCTGCTGGCTGCCACAGTCAGTGTGCTGCACCCTTACGCACGGGGCAAGTTTACTCAAGAGATCCATCATTTGGGGAACAGGCTTGTCAATCAGACAATAAACCAGAATGAAAAAGAACTCCTGCAGGCGTCTTAGACGAAGGAGCCCAGGAAAATGGATGGCTAAAGTTTACTGAGTCCTTACTATGGCCAGGCACTCTGGAGGTCTGTATTCTGCATCATCAAAGAAGAAAACTTTAAAGCAAATGAGAAAATGGGGGAAAATATGCAGCACATGACAGAAAAAATGATTCTTTATAAGCAGTTCTCACAAATCAATAAAAATCAATAAAAAAGCAAACACTCTGAATGACACATGAACAAAGACAATTCACAAAGGAAGAAATACAGCTATACTTAGAAAATTACACTCCACCACATTAAGACCTTACAACAAACACTTGAGCGTCTACTACGCGCTAGCGCTGTCCCTGCGGGTACAGAAGCAAAGAGGCACACACAGCTTAGGTACTAACAGGACAAAAACAAGACGTAAACTATTTTCAAAGGGGAAAGTGCTAGGAAGACAATAAAGGGGGTGATGAAACCAGAAGTGACAGGAGGGGTCTTCCTCAGATTGTCCAGGACCCTGAGTCTCAAGAAGCGACACCTGGATGAAAAGCAGCCAAGCACACCAAGGTCTAGGAAGACCTAGAAGGGCTGCAGAGCCTGGAGGGCTGCAGGAGCGGAGACAGCCAGTGTGGCTGGAGGGAGCGAGCCGGGCGGAGCTGCGGCAAATGCAGCTGCAGACGCAGCGGGGCAAGCCCCACAGACTGGAAAGCCAAAAGGAAGAG